TCAAATTGGAATCAGAGGCTGTGTCCATGCAGCCGCAGCGCCCCATCGGATGCAGGTAGTCTCATTCATGTGCGACACGGTGGCTGCACAGACACAGCCTCTGCTCCTATTTTGACACGGCCCTGAATGCTGTCAATGTGCGTTCAGGACCATGCACCTGCATGGCTGTCAAACTGGAAGCAGAGGCTGTGTCCATGCAGCCGCTGCGCCCCATCTGATGCAGGTAGTCTCATTTGTGTCAAGTGAGACACAGCGCCTGGTCCCAATCTGACAACCACGAGGCTGCATGACCCCAGACTTCATTTTTGGGCTGTGCAATCGCATGGCTTTCAAATTGAGAGCAACGTCTGTGTCCTTGCAGCCGTTGCATCCCATCTGATGCAGGTAGTCTCATTCACGTCAACACGGTGGCTGCACAGACACAGCCGCTGCTCCTATTTTAACACGGCGCTGAATGCTGTCAATGTGTGTTCAGGACCATGCACTTTCATGGCTGTCAAACTGGGAGCAGCAGCTGGGTCAGTACAGCTGCTGCATCCCATCTGATGCAGGTAGTCTCATTCATGTCAAGTGGGATCCAACACCTGCTCCCAATCTGACAGCCATGTGGCTGCATGACCCCAAATGCACGTAGACTGCCTTTGGGGCTGTGCACTCGCATGGCTTTCAAATTGAGAGCCACAGCTGTGTCCTTGCAGCCGCTGCATCCCATTTAAGGCAAGCAGTCTGCTTCCAAACTGAAAGCCATGTGGCTGCATGGCCCTGAATGCAGTCAGGGTGCGTTTGGGGCCGTACGCTCGCATGCCTGTCAAATTAGGAGCAACGGCTGTGTCCTTGCAGCGACGGTGACCCGCCTGATGCAGGTAGTCTCATTCATATCAACAGCGACACAGTGGCTGCACAGACACAGCCGCGGCTCCTATTTTGACACTGTCCTGAAAGCAGTCAGTGTGTCTTCAGTGCCTTGCATCCGCATGGCTGTCAAACTGGAAGCAGAGGCAGTGTCCATGCAGCCGCTGCGCCCCATCTGATGCAGGTAGTCTCATTCATGTCAAGTGGGACACAGCGCCTGCTCCCAATCTGACATCCATGAGGCTGCATGACCCCAAATGTATGCAGACTGCACTTCGGGCTGTGCACTCGCAGGGCTTTCAAATTGAGAGCCACATCTGTGTCCTTGCAGCCGCTGCATCCCATCTGATCTCATTCATATCAACTGCGACACAGTGGCTGCTGCACAGACACAGCCGCGGCTCCTAATCTGACACGGCCCTGACAGCAGTCAGTGTGTCTTCAGTGCCTTGCACCCACATGGCTGTCAAATTGGGAACGACTGTGTCCCATCTGATAGAGGCGTTCTCATCCATGTCAACCGGCTGCACCCAATCTGACAGCCGTGTGGCTGCATGCCCTGAACGCGGTCAGTGTGCGGTCTGGACTGCTGTCAAATCGGGAGCCGTGGTTCTGTCTGCGCAGCCTGAATGGGGATTCACAGAACACGTGTGCGTCCCTGTGCAGGCAAACACGGCCCTCCAAGGGGTGTACCCTGTAGTATGCCCACGAGGCCTTCATCTCATGCTACCAACTGACTGGGGAAAAAAAAAAAAAAAAAAAACAAATCTCACAAGCAGCTGAGCTTTAAGGTCCCATACACACAGGCATCCGAGGGCATCGTACACAACACAGCGGTATATCATGTTCGATGGATTCCAGCATGTGAAGGACGGCCATTGCTCCCTTCTATGGCCACCAATGGTAGTGACACATGCACAGTGCGAGACAACGGCACAACACACTTTGATGAAGATGCAAACCGCACCAAGACCATGGGGGGGGGGGGGGGATTCACTAAAACCGCGGCAGCTGCGCATGGGAAGTGCAGCGCTAATAAATCATATGATGTAGGAGAATATAGTAAAAAAGTTCATAACATATATAAAAAATATATATAAATGATCCCTCCTTGTAGCAGAGAAAAAACTTTGTGCCTGGAAACAATGGTAAAAATGCGCACTCACCAGAGGCGCATAGGTAATGCGCATGTGAATATATCCACCGTAGACCACTTAGGCAGGCGGGGTATAGCAGGCGTCTGGTGAGCTTCCTTCTAGGGATTGGTCAGCACAGCAGCAGGTCTTGGGTTTAAGGTAGAGACCTGCCGATCCAGACATCCCCTTTAGGTTGGATGGGTGCTCAGCTGGTTACAGGGCTCCCTTCCTCTGGACACTGGTATGGTGAGGTGGGTTATCTGAAGGCTTAATAGCTCATGGATAAAGCCACAAAACGAATGCCCATAGTGTAGATATATTCACATGCGCATTGCCTATACGCCTCTGGTGAGTGCGCATTGCCTATACGCCTCTGGTGAGTGCGCATTACCTATACGCCTCTGGTGAGTGCGCATTTTTACCACTGTTTCCAGGCACAATGTTTTTTCTGCTACAAGGAGGGATCATTTATATATATTTTATGAACTTTTTTTTTTTACTATATTTTCCTACATCATACGATTAGCACTGCACTTCTTATACATACAGTTTTATTGGGGTTCATTTGGTTACCTTTAGTGCTACAGCTGCTATATCAAGAGCACTCACTTTATCCTACCATATAGCTGCACATGGGAGCCAATCAGCTTCTAACTTCAGCTTGTCCAATTAAACTGTGACAATAAAATCTGGAAGCGGATTTCTCCGCAGACCCGCGCCAGCTATTGCACCACGCAGTTCGAGCGAATAACCTCCCATGTGTCTGCCAAAGTGCAAGCCGTCTACGGCAACGGCTGCTCACCATAGACTCGCGCGCCCTAGCCGCCAACGCACAGGGACCAAACTGTGTCTTGTATGATGCACTTCGATGCCCCTGTACGGCAACGGCTGCTCACCATAGACTCGCGCGCCTTAGCCAACAACGCACAGTGACCAAACTGTGTCTTGTACGATGCACTTCGCTGCCTGTGTACGGCAACAGCTGCTCACCACAGACTCGCGTGCCCTAACCGCCAACAACGCACAGTGATGTCGGGGACCAAACTGTCTTGTACGATGCACTTCGCTGCCTGTGTACGGCAACAGCTGCTCACCATAGACTCGCGCGCCCTAACCGCCAACAAAGCACAGCGATGTCCGGGACCAAACTGTGTCTTGTATGATGTACTTCGAAGCCCGTGTACGGCGACGGCTGCTCACCAGACTCGCGCGCCCTAGCCGCCAACAACACACAGTGATGTCGGGGACCAAACTGTGTCTTGTACGATGCACTTCGCTGCCCGTGTACGGCGACGGCTGCTCACCAGACTCGCGCGCCCTAGCCGCCAACAACACACAGTGTTGTCGGGGACCAAACTGTGTCTTGTACGATGCACTTCGCTGCCTGTGTACGGCGACGGCTGCTCACCATAGACTCGCGCGCCCTAACCGCCAACAAAGCACAGCGATGTCGGGGACCAAACTGTGTCTCGTACGATGCACTTAGCTGCCCGTGTGCATGGGAGGCCTTCAGGACTTGTACTCACGAGTGGTCTTAGCTGTGTGCACCCTCGGGTGTTGCGCCTCTGCTCTACAGACCACTGTTCTCTACCGGGAATGCAAGCGTCAAAATTGCACTGACACTCTTGGAGACCAATAGACTGACCTAAAAGACTACAAAAAAAAAAAAAAATTAAAATAATAAAAAGCACTCAAATTGCCAAAGTGTCTTTGTGCAACGACACTCGAGTTCTCTATAGAGACCCATCTGTCTGCATAGCAGATACTTGTGCATACTGTACACAGGAGCCACTTAGACATAAAAGAGGACTCCGGCAGAGCCAGGCACAGTAAAGAGAATTCATGAATACAAGCCCTTGTCGCAGTGAGTGCACGGCTAAAAACATTTACAAAGTACACCCACCAAAAAAAAAAAAAATAAAAATGGTGTCTCCTGTACTCAGCCCTCCGGTCCTACCTCCCCTGCAGGGACAGAAGAGCATCTCTTAAAAAAAAATAGCCACCCTTCTCGTTAGCTGCGATGGTACCAGAGCTGTGAATGGACAGGTCAAGGGGGAGGCTATGTGTGTGAGTAAATATATATTTTATATATTTATATATACGATGGCGTGTGTGCGTGTATGCGTGTGTGTGGTGCACGGTAGTGTGGTTTCGCCACGTAACGACAGGCAGAGGGGAAGAATGCGAACACCGCGCCCCGGCTCGTTCACAGACCCCCCTTTCTCATTTTCTGAAGCCAGGTACCACACCCCATTCTGTACACGTCTCCATTATCCTCACACTCTTTGCTTTTTAAAAGCTTCAGGTCTTAAAACAAAAAAACAAAAAAAAACAAAAATACTAGAATAGATTATTACAGATAAGATATAAAAGATATATGTGTATTTCTAAAATGGAGCTTACATGGACTGAACCATAAGAATTCATCTTCGAAGAAAAAAAAAAAAAAATAAAAATAAAAAATAAAAAACACATTATATGCAAGCAGAGGAAAGGAACAGCCAAATATATCATACAAAATAAAAATGTAAAAATTTGGCTACTAGAAGAGATTGAAGCGACTGAAATACAAGGAATGGATCATGTAATACTTCTACACTAATCAGGATCAATGTGTAGGAGGCTGGAATCCGGTGCCGGAGAGCAGCTCACACTGGGTGCGCACCGTGACAGATAGGATGCAACCTGCAGCTCAGACAGTGGACATTTCTCTTGGAGACTTTACAATTCCTGGGAGGAGGCCAAGCTGCCCAGTGATGTGCCACCAAACCAGTCACAACACGTCACGGTGAAACCGTTCCTTTTTTTTTCGTATATATATATATATATTTTTTTTTTTTTCAGACAGCAAAGTAAAGAAATGCCTTCAGCAGTTATGGCAAATGGTTGTGTACATGTATGCTTCAGTCCTTCGTCTTCGCAGCTCCACTTCCTGCAGGCATTTCTTAGATGTCCCCTGTAGGCCGGGGAGGGGGTGGGGTGGGGGGCTCCTGCAGGTAACCGCTGTCCTTTCTAGTCTGGGGGCAAACAGTCATGCAAGCGAAATCTGTCTCTGATGTGGGGCCGCACATCCTCATTCTGCGAAAATAGTAATAAACGTAAAAAGCATGTGGAGAAAAAGGTACAACTTGCACTAATATGTATATAGAACACCCCCCCTCCCCCCCCATTACAGGGGACATTTGAAAAGGTTTCCATGCACCCAGGTACTACATGATTTTGCACTCCCGGGGTAGGGGGCGCGTGTCGCCCTATGTGATTTTGCATATCTGGGTAGAAGGTGCGCGTCGCCCTACGTGATTTTGCACTCCAGGGAAGGTGGTGCGCATCGCCCTATGTGATTTTGCATGTCCGGGTAGGGGGCGCGCGTCGGACTACGTGATTTTGCATATCCGGGTAGAGGGACCGTGTCGCACTACGTGATTTTGTATATCCGGGTAGGAGGTGCGCGTCGCCTTACGTGATTTTGCACTCCCGGGTAGGGGGTGCACGTTGCCCTATGTGATTTTGCATATCTGGGTAGGGGCGTGCGTTGCACTACGTGATTTTGCATATCCGGGTAGGAGGCGCGCGTCGCACTATGTGATTTTGTTTATCCGGGTAGGAGGCGCGCGTCGCACTATGTGATTTTGTTTATCCGGGTATAGGTTCGCGTGGTTTAGGGTAGGCGGCGCGTGTCGCACTACGTGATTTTGCATATCCGGGTAGGGCGCGCGTCGCCCTATGTGATTTGCATATCTGGGTAGGGGGCGCGCGTCGCCCCTATGTGATTTTGCATATCTGGGTAGGGGGCGCGCGTCGCCCTATGTGATTTTGCATATCCGGGTAGGGGGCGCGCGTCGCGCACTACGTGATTTTGCATATCCGGGTAGGGGGCGCGCGCCGCACTACATGATTTTGCACCGGGTAGGGGGCGCGCCGCACTACATTTTTGCATATCCGGGTAGGGGGCACGCGCCGCACTACGTGATTTTGCATATCCGCACTACGTGATTTTGCATATCCGGGTAGGGGGCATATTGCACTACGGATTTTGCATATCCGGGTAGGGGGCACGTGTCGCACTACGTTATTTTGCGGGTAGGGGGGGACGCGCGCGCCGCACTACGTGATTTTGCATATCCGGGTAGGGGGCGCACGCCGCACTACGTGATTTTGCATATCCGGGTAGGGGGCACGTGTCGCACTACGTGATTTTGCATATCCGGGTACTGGGCACGTGTCGCACTACATGATTTTGTATATCCGGGTAGAGGGGGGCGTCGCACTACGTGATTTTGCATATCCGGGTAGGGGGCACACGCGTCGCACTACGTGATTTTGCATATCCGGGTAGGGGGGCGCAGCGTCGCACTACGTGATTTTGCATATCCGGGTAGGGGGCGCGCGCCGCACTACGTGATTTTGCATATCCGGGTAGAGGGCGTGCACCACCCTACGTGATTTTGCAGTTCCGGGTAGAGGGCGCGTGTCGCCCTACCCGCGCCGCCATTGGCGGCTACAGCTGTCGATCACCGGGTCCCGGACGAAGAGTCCCAGCCGCCACCCGGTGATCACTGAGGAACACTGACAGGGGAGAGGTCTGTGTATAAACAACACAGATCTCTCCCGTCAGCACCAACATGCTGCTTTGCATGGCGAAGAGTCCCCGCCGGCACCCAGCGATTGCCGAGTAACACTGACAGGGGCGAGGTCGGTGTATAAACACAGATCTGTTCCCTGTCAGCACCAACATGCTGCTTTGTATGGCTCTGCATAGCAGAGCCATACAAAGCAGCATACTTACATAGTAAAAAACACACAGCGCACACAGCAAATATTGGCTGCTGGGGATGTCAATCACCAAGTCCCGCCCAGGACTCGGTGATCGTCGGCAAAGCTGACAGGGGAGACCTGGGTGTAATCAACAGATCTCTCTCTCCTGTCAGCATGGACAAGCTGCTTTGTATCTCTCTGCACAACATGTCTCCCTAGTAGATCACACACAGCACACAGTTAACCCTTTGATGTTAACCCCTTCCTGCCCAGTGCCAATGCTTTTTATTAGCACTGATCACTGTATTGGTGTCACTGGGGATGTCAGTGGCAGTTAGTTCCCCCCCAGTGTCAGAATGCCCGTCACTATTACTAGGGAGGACAACTTCTGCTTCTGATCGCCTAGGGGATCGCAACGGAAGTGGGTACCTGTCAAATTCTGGTACCCGCTCCCAACCCCCCTCCCCCCCGAAGGTGTCAATCCTTAATGGGGTGCGGGGGACAAAGAGTTAAAGCAGAACTGTCCCTTTCGGGTGGTGCTCTGCTTTAACCACTTCATGTCCGGACACTTTCACCCCCTCCCCCCCCTTCCCCCCCCCCCCCCCCCAGGCCAATTTTCAGCTTTCAGCGCTATCACACTTTGAATGACAATTGCGCGGTCATGCAACACTGTACCCATATGAATTTATTAGCATTTTTTTGAGACAGACAAAACTTTATTTTGGTGGTACTTATTCACCACTGGGATTTTTATTTTTTTGCTATGTAAATGAAAGTCCAAAAATTTTGAAAAAAAGTGTTTTTCTTATAAAATTAAATAAATAATCTTTCATAAATCTTTGACAAAATGTATTCCGTTATCTTTTTAGAAAAAAAAACAAAAAAAAACCCAAATTAGTTTATAACCAAAAATGATAATTTTATAAATTTTGACATTTTTATTTTATTTTTTATATTAATGGGTTTTTTTTTTAACATACTGTCACCCTAGCAGTACAGTGTCACCATAGAGAATTTTGAAAAAAAAAAAGTGTTTTTCTTATAAAATTTTGCAAATAAATAATCTTTCATAAATCTGGGACAAAATGTATTGTTATCTTTTTAGTAAAAAAAAAAAACCAAATTAGTTTATAACCAAAAATGATAATTTTATAAATTTTGACATTTTTATTTTATTTTTTATATTAATGTTTTTTTTTTTTAACATACTGTCACCCAAGCAGTACAGTGTCACCATAGAGAATTTTGAAAAAAAAAAAAAGTGTTTTTCTTATAAAATTTTGCAAATAAATAATCTTTTATAAATCTGGGACAAAATGTATTCTGTTATCTTTTTAGAAAAAAACACAAAAAAAAACCCCAAATTAGTTTATAACCAAAAATGATAATTTTATAAATTTTGACATTTTTATTTTATTTTTTATATTAATGGTTTTTTTTTAACATACTGTCACCCAAGCAGTACAGTGTCACCATAGAGAATTTTGAAAAAAAAAGTGTTTTTTCTTATAAAATTTTGCAAATAAATAATCTTTTATAAATCTGGGACAAAATGTATTCTGTTATCTTTTTAGTAAAAAAAAAAAAACCCAAATTAGTTTATAACCAAAATTTATCATTTTTAAACTTTTTTTTACATTTTTATATTATGGTTTTTTTTTTTTTTTTTTTAAACATACTGTCACCCTAGCAGTGCAGTGACACCATAGTGACACTACTACTTGTGGGGGGTGAAATTTTTTTTTTTATAAAGGCTGTAAAATCAATCATTTCTCCTCCTCTCTGGCCGCATTCTTGCAGCCATTGAAAACTACTGTGTGAGCTGTGATTGGTCACAGCTTGTCACATGGTACAAGGCTGTTGTGAATGGCCCTGTACCATGCGATCTCTGTGATCATTCACAGATTTCACATGTAGTAAGCAATGATGTCAGAAGTGACATCTTGCTTACTACTGTTGCATGTGATCACTGATTGGTCAATCAGTGATCACATGATCGGGACCTCGCACAGAGGTCCCGTCCGATGACTGGTGTTCCACTGTGTCCGGAGGACACAGCGGGCACCGGATCGCGGTGCTGCGTGCTCCCGGGGAGCGTGCACAAGCAGGGGGCGGGGAGGACGTTTATAAACATGGGCCGGACGGGAAGTGGTTAAAGAGAGAAAAAAAAACTGTACTGGGATGACAAGTGCAGCTGCAGCCATCATCCCGGTATAACCACCGAAAGTCCGGTGACGGACCCGCTGATGCAGACAGTAAAATTATGACATGGGTGTCACAGCTGTCAGAGCTGCAAAAACACACACAGAGGGATATGTGGAGTAGTGAAGACCGACGCTCCAGTAGAAAACGCAACACTGAAGGCAGCCTGCAACATGCTCCCAAATATCCATCTCTCTCCTTCGTACGGACTCACCAGTTCTACAAGCTTCTCCAGGAAGGGAACAAGCTTCAGCAGCTCCTTGTCGTTTTTATCCATAAACCAACTCTCAATGGGAATTCCGTTTGAAAGCTGAAAGACAAAGAAGTATTTTTCAGCTGCCGTGCCGATCTTCTGTCAATCAAATCCTACAACACGACAACGGGAAGAGCAACAATTGCAGCAACAGCAGCCGACTGACCACGTAGGGATGAAAGAGTACTGCCGTGGGTCATGTGATCAGCATTGCTGCACTGCTGAAAAGGAAGAGCACTGTCTAGACCAGGGGTGGGCAACCTGCGGCTCTCTAGCTGTTGTGGAACTACATTTCCCATGAGGCATTGCAAAACTGACAGTTACAGCTATGACTTGCAGAGGCATGATGGAACTTGTAGTCCTGCAACAGCTGGAGAGCCGCAGGATGCCTACCCCTGGAACTAGCTGGCTGTTTTTGTTTTGTTTTTTTTTTACCAATAGTCCTGCCTACTCCCTCCCACCCCCACCTCCCCAGTCCTCTGGCAGGGGCCTTATCACCAGAACCTCAGAATTGTTTCGGAGTTAACTTTTTGATTACCAATATATTTTCTTTTCTATTAATGTCAAAATGTGTGTTCCGTAATTAAGTGCATAGAATGCATAGAATTATAGAAAATAGAATGTATTGTGTTAGAATATAAAAATAAATGTTTTTTATAGTTGGGCAAGTAAGGATGTACAATTACCTCCCATAGCCAGCAGGTGGTGCTCTTGTGTCTGATCTCAGCTATACATTGAATAAGTCGGGTGTGGCATCGCGAGATTTCCCAGCATTACAGGAACGCCCTCCATGCAGTCCTACAGCTCCGCCTCCATGGCACTAAAAAGGCCCTCTGACAGGGATGCCCTGTGCAAAGGGGGCACGCTAGTGCAAATATGGGAGCCGCTCTGCAAAGTGGGGCCTCGCCAATGGGGGAGCAGCTCTACAAAGGGGGGGGGGGGGGGGGGGGGGGCCGCTCTGCAAAGTGGGGCATCGCCAATGGGGGAGCCGCTCTGAAAAGGGGGGGGGGAGCCGCTCTGCAAAGTGGGGCATCGCCAATGGGGGAGCCGCTCTGCAAAAGGGGGGGAAGCGCGTGCAAACGGAGGGGGGGTGGGGAGCCGCTCTACAAAGGGGGGGGGGGTGCCACTCTGCAAAGTGGGGCATCGCCAATGAGGGAGCCGCTCTGCAAAGGGGAGGGGGGGGGGGGGGGGGAGCCGCTCGTGCATGGGGGGGGGGGGAAGCCCGCGCGTGCAAAGGGGGGGGGGGGGGGGGGGGGAGGGTGGTCAGCAATGGGGGACCCGCGCTGCAAAGGAGGGCACCGCCAATGGGGGAGCCGCGCGTGCAAGGGGGGGGGAGCCACCACGTGCAAGGGGGGGCAGGAGCCACCGCGTGCAAAGGGGGGCACCGACACCGCGTGCAAAGGGGGGCACCGCCAAGGGGGGGAGCCGCGCTGCAAAGGGGGGGCACCGACCGCCAAAGGGGGGGGGGCACAGCCAATGGGGGAGCCGCCGCGCTGCAAAGGGGGGCACAGCCAATGGGGGAGCCGCGCGCTGCAAAGGGGGGCACCGCCAAATGGGGTCACAGCCAATGGGGGAGCCGCGCTGCAAAGGGGGGCACCGCCAAAGACGCCGCGTGCAAAGGGGGCACCGACGCCGCGTGCAAAGGGGGGGGGCACCGACCCGCGTGCAAAGGGGGGGCACAGCCGCGTGCAATGGGGGGCACCGACGCCGCTGCAAAGGGGGGCACCGACGCCGGGGACGCCGCTTGCAAAGATGAGAAGGCACCCCATTCGAAACTGGGGGGGGGGGGGGGATTGTTTGGAATCCCGCCAGGAACGCCCCATGAAAAGAGGGGGGGGGGGGGGGGGGGGGTGGGCGGGGGGGGGGGGGGGGGGGGGGGGGGGGGGAGGGGGGGGGGGGGGGAGGGTGTGGAACGCCCCGCCGGGGACACCCCATGCAAACGGGTTGGGGAGGCCCTGCCTGGGGGACGGGGGGGGTGGATGCAAAGGGAGGGGGGGATAGTGCAAAGAGGGTATGAAATGACCATACACCAGGATCAGAGTCCTCGCACAAACATGAGATTTGGACTTTTGCTACTAGAAAGTTTTACTAGCCAGACCTGGAATGTCAAAGCCACACCCCTGGCCTCAGCCACACCCCTGGCCTCAGCCACACCCCTGGCCTCAGCCACACCCCTGGCCTCAGCCACACCCCTGGCCTCAGCCACACCCCTGGCCTCGGTTACAGTATTTGATCGCTTGCCAATCATTGTCACACAGCTGAGTCAGGGGAGCGTGCCGTGTAGTAATCAGGCAGTCAAAAATACTGCTGGGATTCTTTCAATCATTAACTTGTGTAAATATAATTCTATCACATATCAAAAAAAAGTTTTATACACGTAATGCAGAAACTTGCAGTAGAACTAAAGTTTTTTTTTTTTTTTTTCCATTTTGGATAAAGCAAGAGAGGGTTGTTATCTCGGTCAGATTTATTTTTCTCCATCTGTATCCCATTGCGGAGATTTCCCTTCACTTCCTGTCCCATAGCCAAAACAACAAGTGAGAGGAAATCTATGATAATTAAGGGAATCTCTTGGAGACCCCCCCCCCCCCCTCCCTCCCCCCCCGGGTCACCAGAACTAGTATCCCCATTGGAAGATTTCAATTACTTTTCTGGGGACAATCCTAAATTTGGGAATTTCTTTTACTTTCAATAATGGTAAACAGGACACACAGAGAGGGTGAATCCTCCCAATGGGGGCCCAGACAGGAATAATCCCTCTTCACTCCATCCAAAACTAAAAGAAAACTTTTTGTAAAATATATTATAAAGTATCAGTTTTTACAAATCTAAACATTTAAAGGAGCTTTCATTTCTCTCACCTGGTATGCAAAGGCTTGTGGTGAGTTATCAATGATGATTGTTTTAGAAAGATCCCTCCCCAGGATATTTAGATCTTTAATATAATTTCCTTGCACACATACGCAGTGCTCCCGGAACAGTCTGTGTCTAAGGAGAGAAGAAGAGGATGGAGGTGAGGAGAGCGGAATAAGGTGAGAGAAGAAGAAGAGGATGGAGGTGAGGAGAGCGGAATATGGAGAGAAGAAGAAGAAGAAGAAGAGGATGAGAGGTGAGGAGAGCGGAATAAGGAGAGAAGAAGAAGAGGACGGAAGGTGAGGAGAGGGGAATATGGGAGAGAAGAAGAAGAGGACGGAAGGTGAGGAGAGGGGAATATGGAGAGACGAAGAAGAGGACGGGAGGTGAGGAGAGGGGAATATGGAGAGAAGAAGAGGAGGAGAGGGGAATATGGAGAGAGGAGGACGAGGTGAGGAGAGGGGGATATGGAGAGAAGAAGAGGAGGGAGGTGAGGAGGAGGGGAATATGGAGAGAAAGAAGAGGACGGGAGGTGAGGAGAGGGGAATATGGAGAGAAGAAGAGGACGGGAGGTGAGGAGAGCGGAATATGGAGAGAAGAAGAAGAGGAAGGAGGTGAGGAGAGGGGAATATGGAGAGAAGAAGAAGAGGATGGAGGTGAGGAGAGCGGAATATGGAGAGAAGAAGAAGAGGAATGGGAGGCGAGGAGGGGAGGGGAATATGGAGAGAAGAAGAAGAAGAGGAGAGGATGGGAGGCGAGGAGGGGAATATGGAGAGAAGTAGGGGATGGGAGGCGAGGAGAGCGGAATATGGAGAGAAGAAGAGGATGGAGGCGAGGAGAGAAGAAGAGGACGGGAGGGAAGAGCGGAATGGAGAGAAGAAGAGGATGGAGGCGAGGAGAGCGGAATATGGAGAGAAGAGGATGGAGGTGAGGAGAGCGAGAGAGCGGAATATGGAGAGAAGAGGATGGAGGTGAGGAGAGCGGAATATGGAGAGAAGAAGAGGATGGAGGAGAGCGGAAATGAGGAGAGAGGGGAATATGGAGAGAAGAAGAGGATGGAGGTGAGGAGAGCGGAATATGGAGAGAAGAAGAGGATGGAGGTGAGGAGAGCAGAATATGGAGAGAAGAAGAGGATGGAGGTGAGGAGAGCGGAATAAGAGAAGAAGAGGATGGAGGTGAGAGCGGAATATGGAGAGAAGAAGAGGATGGAGGTGAGGAGAGCGGAATATGGAGAGAAGAAGAGGATGGAGGTGAGCAGAATATGGAGCAGCAACAGGCACCTTCAGAGCTGCAGGTACGTGGGAACCAGTAAATACCTCACTAGCCGCTTCTTGGGATCCAAAATGTTCAGTAATTTGTCTGCATAGACTTTCTTTGACGCCGTAAAAAGGATGATCTGCAAAATGAAGAGAAAAAACTATAAAAGAAATAAAGAACAGACCAGTAATCAGAACCCACGGCATAATGTGTGCGCCATACTTATCCTTGTGAATGGATGGAGGGGGGAGATCTGCACCGTCAGGGAGGCTCAGTGGAAGCTACAACCAAATATACGACCATCCCGATCCAGTTGTAGAGAATCCACATCAGGAAAGAATATATTGAACATCCCAAATAATAAAGTCACATCTTTTCCTTTTTTTTTTTTCAGTCGCTCATTATATATACACCTTTTGTATCACCTCCCCCTTCCTTTAGACAGTAAGCTCCACGATCAGGGCCCTCCTATTCCTTCTGTACTGACATGTATTGTAACTGTACTGTCCCCCTTTATATTGTGAAGCGCTGTGCAAACTGCTGGCGCTATATAAATCCTGTATAAGAATGATTGGTCACAGCGATCACATGGTACAGAAAGGGCCAGTCACAGACCATCTGTACCATGTGATTAGCTGTGGAAAAGACACTGAATCAGTTTCATTCAGTAAAAATGGTTGCTTATATCAATGAAATTCAATGGTATTAAGCAATGAAAATAAGTAAAAAAAACAACAACAAAAAACAATCCTGATCACTTCCACAGAGAAGTACAGTGTTACTATGGTAACACGGTATTGCTTTGGTCACAGCGTGTTAAAAGAAAAAAATGCAAACTGCAGGCGCTATATAAATCCTGTATAATAATAATGACTTGTCACAGCGATCACATGGTACAGACAGGGCCAGTCACAGACCATCTGTACCATGTGATTAGCTTTGGAAAAGACAGGGAATCCGTTTCATTAAGTAAAAATGGTTGCTTATACCAATGAAAATCAATGGTATTAAGCAATCAAAATTTGTAAAAAAAAAAAGAAAAAAAAAAGAAGAAAAAAAAAAAAAAAAAAAAAAAAAAAAACACAATCCTGATCACTTCCCCAGAGTAGTACAGTGTTACTATGGTAACACGGTATTGCTCTGGTCACAGTTTGTTAGAGACAGGGCCAGTCACAGACCATGTGTACCATGTGATTAGCTTTAGAACATACACTGAATCTGTTTCATTCAGTAAAAATGATTGCTTAATACCATTGAATTTCATTGATATAAGCAATCAAAATTAGTAAAAAAAAAAAAAAATCAATCCTGATCACTTCCCCAGAGTAGTACAGTGTTACTATGGTAACATGGTATTGCTTTGGTCACAGCGTGTTAAAAAAAAAAAAATGCAAACTGCAGGCGCTATATAAATCCTGTATAATAATAATGATTGGTCGCAGCGATCACATGGTACAGACAGGGCCAGTCACAGACCATCTGTACCATGTGATTAGCTTTGGAAAAGACACTGAATCAGTTTCATTCAGCAAAAATGGTTGCTTACATCAATGAAATTTAGTGGTATTAAGCAATCAAAATTAGTAAAAAAAAAAAACACAATCCTGATCACTTCCCCAGAGTGTTAGTACACTGTGTTACTATGGTAAAAGAAAAAATGCACTGTAATTGCTCCTGGTCACAGTGTACAGTTACGAAAAAAAAAAAAAAATATATATAATTAGATTTATTTACCCAAATTGAATGACAGCATCTCTCCCTGGCCTCTAAGTAGAACCTAAAAACTAAACATGGATATTTCTGACCCCGATTCCAGGCATGTGCAGATGACACCAGAGAACTCTGCCTGAGCAGATCTGACGCGTGAAAAATCTTTACAGCAGAGGCAGCCATTACTGTGTCTGAGCCAATGAGCAGCGAGAGAGCCTCGGTTCTCGTGCATATTGCTGGATTGAGATCAGGCTCAGGTTTGTATTTAGCAGGAGCTGCATGCACAATGTTTTTTTTTTTGTTTTTTTTTTTAACCTTACTGTATAGAGTAAGGTAAAAAAAAAAAAAAAACTGCTTTTACAACCACGGGCCCTCCAGGGAATTGACCACCCTTCTAGACCAGGCCATTTTTTGCGATACGGCGCTGCGTTACTTTAACTTACAATTGCACGGTCATGCAACGCTGTACAAAAATGTTTTCATTTTTTTCCTACAAATAGAGTTTTCTGTTGGTGGTAATTGATCACCTCTGTGGTTTTTTATTTTTTTGCGCTATAAAACAAAAAAAGACTGACAAAAGGAAAAAAAAAAATAATTTTTTTTTAACTTTCTGTTGTAAAGCATAACCAGTAAAAAAAATTACAAATTCAAAATTTATTTGTAAACTTAGGCCAAATTGTATTCTGCTACATGTCTTTGCTATAATATATATATATATACACACAAGGCTTGAACGTAGCCTTACTATGGGGCTGTGCCTGCTTTCCACTGTAAGCACACTCTGCTACGCAGAGCCATACAAAGCAGTGTGCTGCAGCTGACAAGGGAGAGAACTGTATTGTTTATATACAGTTCTCTCCCCCCTGTCTGTATTACTCGGCGATCACCGGGTGCCTGGGGCCCGGTGATTGACAGCTGAGGCCACAAATGTCGGCACAGCTCACGTGCGCTCCCTACCTTAAAGTGGAAAATCATATATATATGTGTGTGTGTGTATATATGTATATATATATATATATATACACACACACACATATATATATCACACACACATATATATCACACACACATATATATATATATATATACACACCGCCATTAACAAACACCATAACTTTCACGTAAGCCAATTAATTTACAGGTATTGGGATTTTTTTTTTTTTTTTTTTTTTTTAGCAAAGACATGTCGCAGAATGCATTTTGCCCTAAATTTATTCCGAAATTTGATTTCAATTTTTTTTACTGGATGTGTTTAATAGCAAAAAGTAAAAAATATTGTTTATTTCTCAAAATTGTAAGCCTTTTTTTGTTTATAGCGCAAAAAAAATAATAAAATAAACCGCACAGTCGATCAAATACCACTGAAAGAAAGCTCCATTTGTGGAGAAAAAAAAAGGACGTAAATTTAATTTGGGTGCAGCGCTGCATGACCGCGCAATTGTCAGTTAAAGTAACACAAAAAAATGGCCTGGTCAGGAAAGGGGGGTAAATCCTCTGGAGGGCGAAGGGGTTCATGGACAGGAAAGGAAAATATTAATACACAGATAGGAAAATAAGTCATTTCTATTTTTCTTTAGGTTGACAAATCAATAAAAAGTGAGAAATACTTCAATTTGGATCTCTGTTCTCTGGGTGCGACTTTTTTTTGGGCTGTAAACTTACCTCGTAGATCTGAGACATACGTTCTAAGAACTCGCGAAAGAAAGGCCGTAATCGCACATACACCTAGAATAAGAAAGAGGTCATTGGGTATTCAGAGTTGGATACAGACTAAACAGTTTCAGATCTCAGAAAACGCTTAACCCCTTGGCGCCGGCGCTTACCGGCCCTTTAAGGGTTTCAGAAGCTGGGGGGCGGGGTTTACATGCTGTCACATGATCGGGAAAGGTCCCGATCGAAAGAGGAGATCGGGACCTTTCCGTGAGTACCGGACGTGTGCTGGGAGCGTGCAGGGCGTTCGCTCTCAGCATGTTTTTCTTAGTTGCACGCAAATCTGCGGCTGCTCGGCGTCGAGGCCCAGACTCCGGGAGGCCTCACATTTGCGTGCGGCCGCGCCAAGAGGTTAAAGCAGAACTATAAGCAAAAACAATTTCCCCTTCATTTTGGATGAAGTAAGGGAGGGTTATAACCCGTCAGGGTTTTTTTTTTTTTTTTTTTTTGCCATCTGTGTCCCGTTAGGGGAGATTTCCCTTCACTTCCTGTCCCATAACCAAAAAAGAAAGTGAGAGGAAATGCCTACAAAAAGAAGGAATTGGCTGGTTGTCACCAGAACTAGTGTCCCCATTGGAAGATTTCCCTATACAGGCGTACATCGGTTTACGACTTTAATGCGTTCTCCGGGACGTTTCGTATTGTGAAAAAATTTGTAAACCGAATTGCGGTTTCCCATAGGAATGCACTGAAAACCAATTAATCCGTTCCGGTGGTCAGAAAAAAGTTCATTGCCCTTCCGTGTGCCTCTTACTGCTAAGGCTGGGTGTAGGTTGGGACGGTTGCCATTTTTTGAGTAGTTGGCTAATTTGGATGCAGGGACGCACTGGATGCCTTTGCTGTCATTTTGGTATAGCTGGGCGTCACGTGCGTCCCTGTACTTCTAACCCCTTCATGCTGGCGCCTCCCGGCCCTTTTAAGAGTTTCAGAATCCAGGAGGCGGGGCGGGGTTTAGAGTCATGTGACCGCCGTGACATGATCGGGAAAGGTCTCGATCGAAAGAGGAGATTAGGACCTTTCCGTGAGTACTGGGCATGTGTGCTGGGAGTGTGCAGGGCGCGCGCTCTCGGCACATATGTCTTTTAATAGAACGCAAATGTGCGGCCGTTCGGCGTCTAGGCCCAGACATTTGTGTTTCGGCCAGTGTGAAGAGGTTAAGGAGGGACGGCTGCTCCAGGCACGCCTGCCCCTCACCTATCCATTGACGCACGTGCTGCTACTATGGAGGCTTTGGAAATTTTAGTATACAGAGGACCCTTGACATGGTATAGGTACCTGTACCTAGCCTATGGCTATGGGACTGCGGCTTACGCATGTATTTGCAAATGTGTGCAAACAAAACCCTCTGTATTAAACGCAAACTGTTAGGACCAAATTGGTCGTTTTGCAGGCTGGTTGGTAAGTGTTGCTGGGAAATTCTATGTTTGTGATGTGCATATTGATGTTAATAGAACGCAAATGTGCGGTCGCTCTGCGTCTACGCTCAGACGCTGGACATTTGCGTTTGGCTGGCGTGAAGAGGTTAAGGAGGGACAGCTCCAGGCACGCCTGCCCCTCACCTATCCTACTATGGAGGCTTTGGAAATGTTAGTTAGGTCCACAGTACACAGAGGACCCTTGACATTGGACTGCGGCTTACGCATGTTTTTGCAAATGTGTGCAAACAAAACCCTGTTTTAAATGCAAATTGTTAGGGCCAAATTGGTTGTTTTGCAGGCTGGTTGGTAATTGTTGCTGGGAAATCCTTTGTTTGCGATGTGCATTGCCCTTCCATGTGTATCTTACTGCGAAGGCTGGTTGTAGGTTGGGACGGTTGACATTTTTTGCGTAGTTGGCTAATTTGGATGCACGGACGCACTGGGAAATCCTTTGTTTGCCAAGCAACCCACACTTCATACCTGGTAAATGACATCTTGGAACAGTACAGGGAACGTAAGTGCAGCATCTTCCAGTTCGTTTAAGCTGCAATGCACCAATGTTTCGTCCTGAAATTAAAAAAAAAAAAAAAAGGCGTTATCCCCAAAAACCAAAGCGGGAACGAATAGACAGGATATAGAGGAAAATAAGTTACCAAGTCGAGGACAAGGGAGAAACTCGGGGTACTCCTGGTTTTAAGAGGCAGCGCTGGCTTCCTGTTAAGTTGTTCTTCAGTCAATGGTGGGACATGTTTGATGAAATAGTATCTGTGTAAAGAAATCAACATATTGACTATAATCAGTACATTCTTGGCAAGGAAGGATTTAAAAGTTTGCATTTAAAAGTGCACAAAGAGCTTAATCCAGGTTTTGACATTTCCACTTGCCTGCTCGCCAATGGCGAGTGGAAATTATGGTGGGACGAGTGTGTCCCCCGGGGCAGTCTTGCTGAGCAGGCTCAGAGCTCAGGCCGGATCTGTCATTGGCACTGGGAGCCGTCAGACTGCTTAACAGCTGACCGCAGTGAAAGCAAAGCAAGGAGTGTGTGCTGTGCTCTCTGCCTCCCCCTACAGTGCAGTACCCGGCTGTGTGTGTGTGAACAACGAAGTACTGCAACTTTTTATGGGCGGTGGTGTTGTGTGTGTGAGACTGTGTATGCATGTACAATTGTACATGTGTGTCTGTGTGTATCTGTACATGTGTCTGTGTGTATCTGTACATGTGTCTGTGTGTATCTGTACATGTGTCTGTGTGTATCTGTACATGTGTCTGTGCGTATCTGTACATGTGCCTGTGCGTATCTGTACATGTGCCTGTGCGCGTACATGTGCCTCTGCCGTACATGTGCCTCTGCGCGTACATGTGCCTCTGCCGTACATGTGCGCTGCGCGTACATGTGCCTCTGCGCGTACATGTGCCTCTGCGCGTACATGTGCCTCTGCGCGTACATGTGCCTCTGCGCGTACATGTGCCTCTGCGCGTACATGTGCCTCTGCGCGTACATGTTAGCCTACTGATCCAGGGGATAATCTTGTAATGTCTGCTGACATTTGGGGGGGGCTATCCGTGCTGACATTTGGGGGGGATATCTGTACCGTCCTGACATTTGGGGGATATCTGTAACCAGTCATGACAATTTGGGGGGATAGCTGTATTAAACCGTCCTGACATTTGGGGGGGAAGTAGCTGTACCGTCCTGACATTTGGGGGGATAGCTGGTACCGTCCTGACATTTGGGGGGATAGCTGTACCGTCCTGGACATTTGGGGGGATAGCTGTACCGTCTGACATTTGGGGGGATAGCTGTACCGTCCTGAATTTGGGGGGATAGCTGTACCGTCCTGACATTTGGGGGGGTATATCTGTAACCGGTCCTGACATTTGGGGGGGATATCTGTACCGTCCTGACAATTGGGGGGGATATCTGTACCTCCTGACATTTGGGGGATATCTGTACCGTCTCTGACATTTGGGGGGGATATCTGTAACCGGTACCTGACATTTGGGGGATATCTGTACCGTCCCTGACATTTGGGGGATATCTGTACCGTCCTGACATTAGGGGGGGATATCTGTACCGTCCTGACATATTGGGGGGACTATCTGTACTCCGTGCTTGTACATTTGGGGGGATATCTGTACCTTCCTGACATTTGGGGGGATATCTGTGCCGTCCTGATATTTTGGGGGATATCTGTGCCGTCCTGACATTTGGGGGATATCTTTGCCGTCCTGTACATTTTGGGGGATATCTGTGCCGTCTGACATTTGGGGGATATCTGTTCCGTCCCTGACATTTTGGGGGGATATCTGTACCGTCCTGACATTTGGGGGAGATCATCATGGGGGGGATACCGTCCTGACCATTTGGGGGGGATATCTGTACTATTCCGAGGATGCTCTGATTTGGGGGATATCTGTACTATTCTGACATTGGGGGATATCTGTACCGTTCTGACATTTGGGGGGATATCTGTACCATTCTGACATTGGGGGATATCTGTACCGTCCTGACATTTGGGGGATATCTGTACCGTCCTGACATTTGGGGATATCTGTACATTCTGTATCTGACATTTGGGGGATATCTGTACCGTCCTGACATTTGGGGGATCTGATATCTGTACCGTCCTGACATTTGGGGGATATCTGTACCGTGTCCTGACATTTGGGGGATATCTGGGGATACTGTAACTGTCTGACTTTGGGGGGACATTTTTGGGCCTCAAGATATTAGATTGGTGTCAGTACTTCAGGATTGATCAATTTTCAGATCTATACCATAGTTTGTGAACTCTATAACTTTCCTACAAACTAAAAAAATACATCCTAATTTTGGGTTATTTTCACCAAAGACATGTAGCAGAATACATCTCGGCCTAAATTTACGAAGAACAATTATTTATTTTGCAAACTTTTATAACAAAACTAAGAAACGTGGGTTTTTGTTTTTAATTTGTCTTTTTTTGGTTAATTTAGCAATAAATAAAAACCCCGGCGGTGATTACATACCACCAAAGGAAAGCTCTAGTTGTGTGAACAAAATGATAAAATGTAAGTTTGGGTACAGTGGTGCATGACCGCGCAATTGTCATTGAGAGTGTGAGAGCGCTGAAACCTGAAATTGGCCTGGGCAGGAAGGGGGGTAAAAGTGCCGGGTATTGAATTGGTTAAATCAGCGTCTGTGTGTTAGGCAGGATATAAAAACAAAAAAAAAAAAACAAAAAACAAACAACAATACACAATAGAACATGTGCACTATTGTTTCTGGGGCCATTCTACGGGTACATACAAAAACACACAAATATGCAATATCTAGGGGTGCACCGATACCCTTTTATTATTGATCAGCGAGAACGAGTACCGATACTTTGTGGTGCGATATGCGTCAATACAAAATTTATGGAGCAAACTGCACAGCAAATAATAGCATGAGATTTGAACGGGGAATGCAATTCCTTCAGGGCGCAAGGCGCATATGTTGGACTGCAACAAAAATAATCAGTGAGAAGGAACCCCGAAAATAGTAAGCCACAAAATCCAACACGACCCCCCCAAAGAGGAAGGAAGAGAGTTCAACATCAGGAGCAGGGCAATATCAGCTGGTCACATCTGTCCCAGTATGGAAATCCCCTGGGGAAGATATTTTAGCACGCCTATTCGAAAACCACAATAAGCCCTCAGGATATAGTATGTAAAAAGTCAAAAAGTACTATAGAACAGACAAAAAAGCCAAAAAATATCAGGATTAGCTGAGTGGCAAAGTCAAAATCCCACTTGAATTAGACCTCCAGACCAAAGCAAACTGCTCAACAGCATTTCTATTTAGATAACAGGCTGGGGGTCCGTAGGGACAGGCATCTGCAGTTCAGAGATACAAGCCCAAAATCACTCCTCCATACACCTGTACAATGCAGATGTAACCAGGGGTCCCCCCGCGGAGTCTCCCCTGAGTCCTGCCTACATAAGGGTGCAGAATGTTACTAAGGGCTCGTTCACACTAGGCTGTTTTGCCAACGCTTGCCAAACGCCCCTATAGCGTTTGGCAAGCGTTGGTCCGGCGTTTGCGGAGCGTTTTTTAACGCTCGCAAACGCTCCGCAAACGCCGCATGCGCGGTTTAGCGGCGGTTGCTAGGCGTTTGCCGAGCGTTAATAACGCCCCACAAACGCCTATAATGCAGTTTGAGTGGTGTTACCGCCCCGCAAACCCCCCGCAACCGCGTCGCAACCGCACCGCAAACGCCGGCCGGGCGTTTGCGGAGCGGCACCATAGACGAGAATAGGAGGCTTCAAAGCCTCCTGACTCGTCCAGAGGCGTCCGTTTTGCCGCGACGCAAACGCTCCCGTTAGAACAGCACCATGTGCTGTAATGTGCAGAATTGGCAGAGGCGTTTGGGAAGCGGTAAAAAACGCTTCCCAAACGCCTCTCTGCCGCCTGCACACAAGGCTAGTGTGAACGTAGCCTAAGGCTTCATTTTATTTTGTTTATTATAGAGGCCTGTATAGCGCCATCAATTTTGTGCAGCACTTTACTTATCTAGTTCGGTCGATATATATTTGGACACAGGCACAATATTAGATTTTTCAGGTATTTACCAAAACATATCTCAGCTCTAGTTATATAATGGATCCGGGCGGACAGTGCGCACTCTCAGGTGTAATTTGAGGGTATGTACATCCACAGTGGGGGAGGGGTTCAGGAATTACAGCTCTTAAGAGTAGCCATCCCTCCTTTTTCAAAGGGACCAAAAGTAAGTGGACAATTGAATCAAAAGCTGTTTCATGACCAGGTGTGGGCTACTCCTTCATTACTACTTCAATTAAGCAGGTAAAAAGTCTGGAGTTGATTCTAAGTGCGGTATTTGCATTTGGACTCTATTGCTGTGAACCTACATCATCAAAGGAGCTGTCCATGCAAGTGAAACAAGCCTTGGAAGTATTCAAAAACCAAACAAATCCATCAGAGAGATCGCAGCAACATTAGTGGCCAAATCAACAGTTTGGTCCGTTCTGAGGAAAGAACGCACTGGTGAGCTCAGCAACGTAACAAGGCATGGACGTCCATGGAAGACAACAGTGGTGGATGATCGCAGGATCCTCTCTATGGTAAACAAAACCCATTCACAACATCTAGACACGTGAAGGACACTCTCCAGGAGGTGGGCGTATCATTGTCAAAGTCTACAATCAAGAAAAGACTTCACGAGAGCAAATACAGAGGGTTCACCACAAGGTGCAAACCATTCATAAGCCTGAAGAATAGAAAAGGCAGATTAGACTTTGTCAAAAAAAATCTAAAAAAGCCGGACCAGTTCTGGAAAAGCATTCTTTGGACGCATGAAACTAAGATTAATCTGTACCAGAATGACGGGAAGAATAGTGTGGAGAAGGCTTGGAACGGTTCATGATCCAAAGCACACGTCATCTGTAAAACATGGTGGAGGCAGTGTGATGGCATGGGCATGCATGGCTTCCAGTGGTACTGGGTCATTGGTGGTTATGTGAGCAAAGGTGATTGGACGGCGCTTCACAGTACAGATGGACAATGATCCAAAACACACTGCAAAAACAACCCAGGAACTTTTGAAGGAAAAGAAGTGGAATATTCTCCAATGGCTGAGTCAATCACCTGATTTCAACCCAATTGAGCATGCATTTCACTTGCTGAAGGTAAAACTAAAGGCAGAAAGACCCACAAACAAACAACAACTGAGGACAGCTGCAGTTAGAGCCTGGCAAAGCATCAGAAAGGATGAAACCCAGTCTTT